ATCAACAGGCTCTGGCTTCTGACTTGCGATTATACACGACCAGTTTGTACCGTTCGACACGCAGTTGTAGTTTGTGCACTTCAGCTATAAATTACCTATTTCTTGAACTACTCCTTATAATATTATTTATTTATTTTATACTTCGGTATAATTTTAGACATTGATTACTATTGTCCCCACAATTTCTGTTTTATGTTAAAACTAGTTACGCGTTTATCAAAATTATGATTCCCGGAATCATCTTATTATAACTATTAGTTACCAAATAGGTTAGTACTTAGGTTTATACTTTGTCTTAGATGAAACCTTCATTTTTTCTAATTTTTGTGCCGATTRTTTTCCTGAAAAATGTTAAGTATTGAAATCGATGTTCCAAAAAGTACCTAATACTAGTGTAGTCTTGGTAATTCCACAGCCATATTTGTCAAATATGTGAAAATTTGAATATTTAAAGTTCAAATTATATAAAAATACATAGATTTAGGAACATTAACCACTATGGCTTGATAAAATGACATAAGTACGACATAGCATACCTAATATTTTAATAATGTATATTATTATTTTACTTTCAATTAATACTTTACCCACCTAATACCTACTTTGTTAATTAGTTAATATCTTTAGTGCAGCAATTAGAAAACTTGGAAACTATTTGTTCAAATGGCGACACTTTAAAACGTCATCTTAATATACYGAAAGAGAGAAGTTCTCCATGATTCTCACTTTGAGTATCAAGTATATTCACATTCAATGTGGTGTTTACAAGTTTTATACGAACAAAAATGGTAAAAATTAAGTATGCTTAAAAAATCATAATTTGCATAGTTTGTACCTTGGTTTGTACAGTTGTTCCTTGTACTTGAGTACTACTAGTATTTATTATTAGGTAGTAGGTACCCGTTATTTTTATTGTACATTTCAAAATGCTCAAATGTCACATTGGTATACCTAAGTATTGAATTACACAATTTAAAGATTTTCTCGTAATCCCWCCATTGTATCGAACTCGGTACTTCYTTCATTTTTTCCAGATCAAGTAGCTATTATTCGTAACGAAAATAATTGTTTTCACAACAYTCGGCTTGCATAGTCGGMATGCCATTCAATTTTAAATTTCCGGTGTCAAAAATTCAAAATGTTTTGTAGTATTGTTGATTAATGCAAATGTTCCACTAAATGGCATGTACAAATTATAAAATGTATCTACACGGCACTCGTACTGACGCTTATAGTAAATTAACTCACGGATAACATAGGACAACAAGGAACACGGCCAAATAAGGAATAATAAAGAACAATAAGAAACGAAATCTTAATTATATTTTTAAGATTTAARTTTAATAAAAAAAACATATTTTTTGTTTTTAAATTGTTCTAATAATAAAATGTCGACAAAATTTATAGGTGCATTGATTTGAAGTTTAAGGACATAACACTCGTTTTTTAAGGCATTATATTTCTAGCTCTAATTATCATAGAAATCAATACGAGTTTTTGTCTGGTCATAAATACAATTTAGTTACCAAATGATTAACCGATTTAATTTTCTAGTTAYTTCGATAGTGTGATGATTTATATAACAGTGTTCAGTTCTCATCAGATCATGTAACGTAATCACATAAATATATAATGCAGATAACCCTACACGTTGTCAAAACGCATATACTTATAAAATTATTATTACCTATTTTAGAGGACGTTTCACCGAAAAGGGATCAGCTATAAATAATAATAAATAAATATTGGACTAAGTTTAAGTTCTAGAACTATACATTTTATAACTAACGCCCATTTGTAATCTAGCTCTAATTAAATCATTTTTAAATACACCATTCTTTAATAAAACAAAATAAATTAATTGAGCTTGATATAATCAATATCCCATTAATAATCACGAAAATAATATTTTTCTTATACTAAAT